GAACTAAAACTTTTTTTAAAGGGATTATTTACTTAAAACAAGCTGCTATGTCTTGCTGAAAAGTTACCTGTAAGTTGGTTTTGTCTCAAGTGAACTAAGATATTTTCGGTAGAAACTAGACAAAATACTTAAGATTTAGTTGTTTTGCAGTGTAATCTGACAAAATATCTAAACGTTCAATGGTACAAACAGTTTTGCAAGACACCCCATTGTTTGTTATTTATTGTTGTGTTACTTAACTGTGTATTTTGTTGTGCTGTGTTAGGGAGACTCCGGTGGACCTCTGCAATGCAAGCAGGGCTCCAGGTGGATCCAGGCTGGAATCACAAGCTATGGGATCCCTTGTGCCACTGCTGATTTTCCTGAGGTTTACGCTCGAGTGTCGGAGTTTCAGGCGTGGATCACAGACCAGATCGCTGGCACCACAGCGGGCTTCGTGACATTCAGCTCTAACGGCACTGACGCAGACACCAGCTTTACGTGTCGCAACTCAGGCGATCTTTCCACTCAGTTCTCATTTGCCGTCCTTGTGACTGTGATGCTGCATCCATTCATCACTAAATGAAAGTCTTTTTTTTTTTTTTACAGTTTTGCTACACTTTAAATAATCTTACAAAAATAATAATATTTTAGAATAAATAATGTTGGTCAGAGTTGACTTTGTATAAATAGTTTCAGTGCATTTGTCATAATTTAGTGGTGCCATAAAGACCCAAAAGTCTAATTATGCCGATTTATGTTTTCGCATCCACTTGAATAATGTGTAGTTGTGCCACTGTCTACATATATAAGACAAATAGTTTTTTTTCTAACTGTCTGAAGTTAAATCTGATTAAACTTCTCTTGATTTTGCATAGTTAGAATTACCAAAATAATTTATTTATGCTAAATGCAAGAAAACCTTTTTATAATTTTTTTAAATTCATAAGTTCACATAAGTTGGTCAGTATCAGAGATAACTGTCTTTTAAACCACCTGTGCAGTGCAAGTGATTGCGCCTCTGCAGGAAGACTGAATGCTGCAAGTCAGCGATGAAGCAAACTGCTGGGTTTCCTTACAGAGAAAGTTTGTCAAACTAATTTGAATTGAACATGATGTTTGGTAACTAGGAACAATCGCAATGACGGCGTGATTTAGCTGAAGTGACTTTGTTTTGTAAAATTCTGTTGTGAAGTAAAGTTATTTGAATCTTAATAAAACAATCTAGTAAAATAACATATTATATAATAATCTCTCTATATATATTGTACAGTTTTGACTTGGTTACTGCTCTGAATGTTGTTTTTGTTTCAGCAAATTTATATTTTGTTGAGTCTAAAACTCCAATTAACGACTAATCAATTACTAAATTAGTTGATGATTATTTCAGTAATCCATTAATCACAAATAATCAGATTAATCGTTTCAGTCCTACTTATAAATTGCATCTGGTTGCTTTTAAGACTGTTTAACCCCAAGATCCCAATCTAAACTGCACTTTTTCCTGCACTAGAAATAAACTTCTGTTATGTCGCATTTATAATCCAGGAAAACAAAAAGTCGATAATTTCTAATCAGAAGTGCTTAAAAATGGGGATAAACTTACAAACTTCACATTTATTTATTTTAAATGGACCGCCTACTTTTATTAATATCAATTAAATCATTTTTATTGTGAAAGAATATGCAGATGAGATGAGGAGAAAACATTTTAAAGCATTTTTCACATCTTCAGCAGGCAGAAGGTTCATCTGTGCCTGTTCAGGATTAGAAAGCAAAGCATGACAACTATGGCGCTGTGGCGCAGCTGTCTGTGTGCACGTCCACAAGAGACGGGGGCTCGAGACTGAAATGACACTCTGGCCTTTTTTAGACCGAGGCTGGATATGACAGAGACGATGTTCAGGCCTAAGATTAAAACAAGAGAAAAACAAAGAATTGATCTCAAACCCTGGAGATGAAAGTCTCTGCAACAGTTGGGACTTTCATTACTTCTCTATCTGGTGTTTATTTTTGCATAATTTGTGTTGAATGTGTCACTTATATATGTGCGTAAGGAGGAAAGAGATAAGGAGTTTGACACTTCATCATATTGAGGGCATGACATTTTTGGTCATTTCACAGACTTCAGAATCTAAATCTGGTGATGTCCTCACCAGCACTGTTTCCTCTGCAGCGGCGAAAAGAAGGAACTCATGAAATGTCACAGAAATTCGTGTGAAAAGAGAAACCGAGTCCAGCAGAGCAAAAGTACAAAGGAAAATTTAATTACCAATTAAAAAAGGAGAACAGAGTTCAGTCTGGCATGAAGGAGCAACCAATGCGTTAAAATGACAACGTGAGAAAATAGGGCAGAATTTAAGTTATTTTTCATGCATGGCGACAAGAAGTCCCAGTTACATGAAGTGCTGATATAATAAGTGAAGATCTCGATACTGTGAATTCAAGAAGTGAAAAAAACAAAAAGGGAACAAGAAACAACAGAACAAAGCTGTAAAAAAAGCATTCAAATGTTTTCACTTCTGATAAAATGATATTTACTCTGAAACATTTTGTCTTTTGCTCATTATGTGTCACATAAACACTTGGCTCCCCATCAGGGGTTTGATAGAAATACTAAAGGTCACTGATGGGTGGAGCTGTTTGCCTTTGAGTCAAACAGCTCCACTGTTTACAAAGATAGTTGATAGCAGATTTTCCAAATCTACAAAAACCATCTATAACCCAATAAGTGGAAAGGAAAATTCAGTCTTCAATGTTTTAACAATCTGTAATCTCTCTGGTCCTGTAGAGACCGAGGCCTTTTTTCTTGCTAAAACTGGAGTTTTACGTCTAACATCTAATTTATTTATTAGATAATGACTCCATTATGGTTTAAAAATACTACTTTTACTTTTTTTTTAGATTTTTCTAGACATTCAGGAGAACCTTGTGTCTTTGTAAGAAGCTGCTAAAAAATAAGTGTTAAACTGCTTCAAAAGAACAAGAGTAGCTGCTTTTCCATTGACCATTTAATTCCAGAAATTGGAATTACGAAAATAAATTTGCTCCACAGAAACACACCAATTGAAAGAAAAGTTTATTTAATGATAATGAGCTGGATTTTCAGCTGTATCAAAATTGCTGTACTTCGTAAATGTGCAGGGGAAAGACTGTTTCTTCGCGTCACATGAGTCATGTGATCAACAACAGGAAGTTACTACTGAGGGAAAGACGAAGAAGACGACAGGAAGTG